GCCTCCCAAGTAGCTGGGACCACAGGCGCCTGCCACAACGCCCGGCTACTTTTTGGTTGCAGCCGTCATTGTTGTTTTGGCGGGTCCGGGCTAGGGATTCGAACCCGCCACCTTAGGTGTATGTGGCCTGCACCTTAGTCGGTTGAGCTATAGGCGCTGAGCCTGAGTTCTGTTTCTTAAAAGTTCCATAGGCGATTTCGGTGTCCTCCTTTGAGAAGTACTAGCTTGGAGATTTGAAGTCATTCCCCAATTTTTTTTTATTACTTGCCACTTTAATATTTACAATAATCCTAAATTAGCAGATGTTAACCACTCAATGCTAAGTCAGAATTGATTATTTTTCTTTTCTTTTTTTTGGCACTTTATTTTTGGTATTAGTGAAATAGGCATACAGTATTTTGAGATTATGGGTACAACTTGTCTGCTTGTATCTTTTGCCTAAGTGTCATTATTTTGTAATGTAGTCCTATTTGTAATGTCCTATTGACATTGGTTAGAACTAATTTTTATATTCCTGTTAGAATCTATTTTTCTAGTAACCTTGAGAAAGTAACGTTTGACATTCCTATTCAATAATGCACATATTAAGGTCTTCCTAACATTGTGGGGTTAGGTAATCTTCATTTGGACTTAAATTAAAATTCAGCTCATCACCTGTAGCACAGTGGTTATGGTGCCAGCTACATACACCGAGGGTGGTTCGAACCTGGCCTGGGCCAACTAAACAACTGCAACAAAAAAAAAAGCTGGTTGTTGTGGTGGGCGCTGTAGTCCCACCTACTTGGGAGTCTGAGACAGGAGAATCGCTTAAGACCAAGAGTTGGAGATTGCTGTGAGCTGTGATGCCATGGCACTCTACTGAGGGTCACATAGTGACACTCTGTCTCAAAAAAAAAAAAAACTAAAATTCATCTTTTTTTTTTTTTTTGCAGGGCATGCCTTTAACTTCAGAGTGGTTTGCAAAGTATTTGCAATCATCAGCAGTTGCATGTCGGGTAAGTTTGAATTTTTTAAAAATAATTCATTTCATTTTGAAGAATTGTATCATTGTTTTACACGGATAATAAAAGTTTTCTTTCTAGGTGGATATATCTCTTTTGTCATATTCTATAAGAATAAACACTTTCCAGTGGATTGAAAGAGAATACTGAAAGAAAATGTTATTCAGTATATATAAATTGAAGGTCTTCAAGGTTTTTTAGCTGAAATTGAGTGTTAGGGGAAACTAATTGTCATTTAGCAAATGTTTATTGATAACCTACAATGTACCAGGTCCAGATAGATTAGATATTTCAGAAAAAGAAAAAAAAAATCCCTCATGGATTTATAGTCTGAGTAAATGTCAGCTTCATAGCTAAGGGCTATGAAGGCACATAATTTGGAATAAAGAAGATAGAGGGGTGGGGGATACTATTGTATTGTATTTATTTTTTTCTTTTTGAGACAGAAAGTTGTTGCCCCAGGTTAGAGTTCCATGGCGTCACAGCTCTCAGCAGCCTCAAATTTCTGGGCTCAAGTGAGCTGAGACTCCTGAGCCCAGCTAATTTTTATATTTTTAGTAGAGACAGGATCTCACTCTTCCTCAGGCTGGTCTCAAACTCCTGAGCTCAAGCAATCCCCCTGTCTTGGCCTCCTGGAGTGTTAGGATTACAGATGTGAGTCACCATACCTGGCCAGGGGATACTATTTTATATAGCGTGGTCAAGATAGGCATCTCTGAGAAGGTGATATTTGTGAGCAAAGACCTGAAAGAAGTTAGAGTGAGCCATTTAAATACCTACGGGAAGAGTGTTCTAAGCAGAGACCGGAGGAACAAAGGTCCCACGGCAGGAGTTCACTGGCTCTTTATACATGATCTACCTCTTTATGATTTAATAAATAAATATATATATATGTAAAAAAAAAAAAAAAAAAGAAACAGAAGGAGGATAGAGCAGAGTGAGCAGGAACACTGGAGGTGAAGAGTGGTCAGGAATGTAGGGAGTGGCTATGGTGAGGACCTGGGACTTACCCTGAGGGAAGTGGAAGGATGTTTTGCAAAGGAAGACATGATAGAAATTCAGGTTTTAGAAGAGTTGCTGTAGCATGAAGAATAGATTTGGGGGGGGGGGTAACAGCATAAGCAGGGAAACCATTTAGAGAGTACTGGAGCAACCTAATTGAGAGATAGCAGAACTTCAAACAAGAGTGGTACCATGGAAATGAGAAAGGTTTGACTCCTGGCTTTACTTTGAAGATCAAGCCAACAGGATTCATTGATGAGTTAGATATGACAAGGAGTGAAAAATATTCACTCCAAAATTTTTGACATGAGTAAGTATAAAAATGCAATTACCTTTTCCTATAGGGAAAATTGAGAAGGAAGGTTGAGAGGCAAACTCACCAAATGATCTTGTTATTCCTAAAGCAGGTTACTTAAGTCAAACAAAATAGATTAGATGTATATGTGTAAGATTATTCTTTCAAATATAAATATTCTACTTAATAGTTTTTTTTTCTTTTTGTAGTTTTTGGCCAGGGCCGGGTTTGAACCCACCACCTCCAGTATATTGGGCCAGTGGCGCCCTACTCCTTGAGCCACAGGTGCCGCCCAATAGTTTTTTTAAATGTCATGCTTAATAGTTGTTCTAAATGTCATGCTAATTTTTACTTAGTTCTTTCAATTGCTTATCTTTATATTTTAGCAGAAAATATATAATTAAAATGCCCTGGCTCGGCGCCTGTAGCTCAAGTGGCTAAGGCGCCAGACACATACACCCAAGGTGGCGGGTTCAAATCCAGCCCGGGCCGCCAAACAACAACCGGCTGCAACCAAAAAATAGCTGGGCATTGTGGCGGGTGCCTGTGGTCCCAGCTACTCTTGGGAGGCTGAGGCAGGAGACTAGCTTGAGCCCAGAAGTTGGAGGTTGCTGTGAGCTGTGATGCCATGGCACTCTACCCAGGGGGACAACTTGAGGCTCCCATCTCAAAAAAAAAAGAAAAAGTTCTAATTTCTCTTCCCATATGGAAAGTTTCTTTTTGATTTAAGCTATAAGAAATGTTTTTTTTTTCTCTAGCAAAAAATAAAAAGTGAAAGAATAAAAAAGGATCAGTAGATTAGGTAAAATAAAAATAAAATACAATTTTTAACCAACTTTTGCTTAGACTGTTCAGGTCCATGTTACATTTCTTTGCCGATGTTCGTTTGTAGGTGTATGCCAATCTGACATCTTGCCAGGCTCTTGGAAATATGTGTGTGATGAACATGAATTCTTATGATTCTGCCACATGTGATGCATGTCGACTGTTTCAGTTTATCTTTGAAAATACAGCTTCACTGAGCACTGTTCATTCTATTTCATTTTGGTAAGGATTTTTTGATTATTGAAATATCGTTTTGACTGAATTCGGTGCAATTATATTCATAAATATAATAAATATTTCTTTTCCATTATTAAAACAATTGTAATTGTTTATAGGAGACAGAATCTTCCATGGCTATTTTATGGAGACCAGCTAGGATTAGCACCTCAAGTACTCAGTGCTATCCCTTTTTCTACAAATTTCAGTTTTAAAGGAGAAAACCAGGTACAAGTATCCATACCATTAGAGGATAATTACATTTTGATTTACAACTTTAAAAGGTAATAAATTACTAGTTACAGTTCTTTATTAGGTTTTTATAAATCTAGTTATTTAACTAAACATAAATATTAGCTGTTTACAGGAACTAAACAGTGTAGAGTTTAGCTGTTTTACTTGAGTATATGGATACCTCTGGATTATGTGGTTATGGCAGCAAGTAGTATTAGTGTGGGTGGGAAGAGTAGTTTTCTTTACCAAATACAAAGAGATCTCTGTCCTTCAGAATTTCTGTATTTGAGAGAGGTGCTTGCAAATATTAATTGGGGCTCCATGACACAGCCCAGCACTTCACAGGTCCAAAAATCCCACCTCTGCCTTTCTGACCTTCCGTTACAGAATGAAGAAGTAAGATTATTCTCCCCGCCCCCCACACCATTTAACAGGTTTGAAAGGAGGTTGTCTGTCACTAATGCCTCTCAATTCTAAAATAATACTTTTCATGCAGAAAATGAGTCTAGCTTTTTAAGGTATATTTAATCATAGAAATAGATTAATTAAGCTTCAAAATAAAGATACTCAAATTTAGTTTTTCAATAAAAAAGATCAGTCAGCAATGAAAAAGAAAGGATCAGTCAACAGTGAAAATTTCTTTATAGAATATTATATACTACTTTCAGAGTATTAGACAAATTATTTTATTTTTGTTTTCTTTATTCAGAATACAAAATTGAAGTTTGTTGCTGCTTCCTATGATATAAGAGGCAATTTTCTCAAGTGGCAAACATTAGAAGGAGGTGTTTTACAGGTAAACATGATTCTACCTGAGGAATTAGTAATGAGCCTTATTTTTGCCTGAGGCAAACATAAGAGGAAAAGTTGCTTGAATAAAGCATCAGTTACATGCTACAGCTGATTTTTTTCTGATGCTTTAATTGGAATTTCTTAAAACTACTGTTTTAGGGAGGCTCCTGTGGCTCAGTGAGTAGGGCACTGGCCCCATATACTGAGGGTGGTGGGTTCAAAGCCGGCTCCAGCCAAACTGCAACCACAACAACAAAAAATAGCCGGGCATTGTGTCCCGGCCACTCAGGAGGCTGAGGCAAGAGAATCACCCAAGAGCTGGAGGTTGCTGTGAGCTGTGTCATACCAAGGGTGACAAAGTGAGAGTCTGTCTCTAAAAAAAAGAGAAAAAGAAAAAAAAAAAACAATGCTGTTTTAAGTTATAACTTTATAATAAAGATGCTCCCTTAACTTTTTATGTCCTGATACATTAAGTAGATATTGTGTAGAACATATATCCCACATTGGAATTTGAGAACTCTTGACTAAAAGCAAAGAAAACATTTGTGAGAGGTATTTATCAGTTGTTTTCTTTTGCTATAGCTTTGTCCAGACACAGAGACAAGGCTAAATGCTGCTTATTCTTTTGGAACCACTTATCAACAAAATGTAAGTTTGGACTATATTAGTCTCTATTTTAGCTTTGTTTTTCTAAAATATCACATGAGCAATAATTGGGATACTATTTGAAATTGGAGATATTTTTAATAGTAATGAATAATCTCATTAATTAATACAATTTAATGGGGCACAGAATTTTTAATTAGCATAAAAAGGATATCTTCTTATCTTAGAATCTTAAAATGTTAGATTTTCGTGGATAATTGTTTATCTATTTCTAGGTTCATAGGTCTTAAAATATAATGCCTACTTCTGTATATTTTGGAATAAAATAAAAATACTACTTTAATTTTGTTTGAATAATAATGTTACTCCCTACTCATTCCATCCCCCAATAACAAGTAAAATGCTTCCTTTCTTTCCCCCTTCCTACTTTCCTCTCTCCTCCTTGCTCTGACCTCTACTTTGGCAACTCATTTGAAATTCATTATGGTACAAAGGAATATTATGAGCCACTAAATATTTGAAAGCCATTCAGTAGTCTGTAAAAATGCTTCTTGAGAAAAATGTATATATTACACACACCAATGAATAAAACCTCAGTAAAAAATGTCATTACAGAAAACAGATTGGATGGCAACAAACATTTTTAACAGTAGTTATATCTGGAAGGTGGGATTTGAGACAATTTTTGTTTTCTTTTATATATTTTCCAAATTTTTTAACATGAATGTGAATTTACTTGTCAGAAATGACTTATATGTTACTTTTTTAAAAATGTTATTGTGTATCTAACATGAACCAAGAGAATCAACACTTGTTAAATACTTGCTACTCAGCTTTTTATCATTGTTTATCCCATTTGATCATAAAATAACTATGTGAGATACATAACTTCTGTGCTTCATAGATGAGAAAATTGTGCCCGGTAAGATTAGGTAATCTACTAAAAGTTGTGTGTCAAATTAATTGTGGAGCCAATGTTCTATTAGGTTTAAACCTATGGTTATTCTACTAAACCTGGCTGCCTCTCAAGTACTGCCTAGCCCACTAGGAAAAACAACTATATAGACAAAGAATTAGAAAGAATATGAAGTGTTATTCTACAAGTATTTACAATGTACAAGCTCCTGGGAAAGTATAGAAAACCTTTACACAGAGACACTTGGGGTTGCATAATGAGTATGTATTTGACAGGAAAACACTGTGGGAAAGGTAATATAAGGCAGAAACCACATTTGCAATGCCAGAGCAACATAGAAAAGCATGGTGTGTTTAGGAACTACAAGCAGGTTAGTATGAATGGACCACCAAACTGGTAAGGAGCACTGGGTGATAAGCCTGGCTCCGTTAAGGGAAGCCAGATCATAGACGTCACTGTACATCAAGAGAAAGAATTGAGACTTTATTCCATAGTACAGTAGATTCTAAATTTTTTCACTGATGTGCACTTAATGTTGGAATGAAGTCATACCTTCTACATCCAAGTTGTAGGTCAAGAAAAAAGCAGTTAGTTAGTTGTAAGGTTTTTTTGACCCTTATGAAAGAATCATATTTGCAGCATTTATATTTTGAAAGTCACATGGAAATGCTTGTAAATTAAGCAAAGATATTTTTATTTTGCACAAATAAAAAACTTTATTAAGTTTTTTCGAATTTTAAATTGTGATACTTTTATTTTTATTTTCCAGTGTAAGATTCCTATTTCTAAGATCTTAACTGACTATCCCACTCCTATATTTTATGATGTGTACCTTGAATATACTGATGAAAACCAACACCAATATATTTGGGCTGTGCCCGTGTTAAACCTAAATCTTCAACACAATAAAAGATTTGTGAACCAAGGTAAGATATCCATACATATCATCCTTTCTCTGAGCTGAAATTAATAAACAAGTCAACCACATGATAATTAAAAGAGTTATTGATTATAAGGTCATGAATTCGTTCTTATGTGATTTTTACAACATGTCAAAAAGTAAAACAGTAAATTGCTAGTATACTCAGAAATTTTTACTAATTTTGTCTGACAGGCATATTGTTAAGAAATTAGACCAGGTGTGGTGGATCCCGCCCAGCATAGGAATTTGAGACCAGCCTAGGCAACATAGTGAGTCCTCCACAAAAAAATAAAATTAGCCAGGCATGGTACCTGTAGTCCTTGCTACTTAGGAGGCTGAGGTAGAAAGATTGCTTGAGCCCAGGAGTTACAGCGGTAGTTTTTTGTAGCCATCCTACCAAAAATAATTAATTTTGTGTTTTAAATTTGTTCCATAAACTTGAGAGCTGTTTTGAACAATGTGAGCATATTTTTTAATGCCATCTTATATTTTCTTTTATTATAAAAGATGCTGGCTCTGGCATGTGGCTTCTGACTCGTCGTATTTTCTTAGTGGATACAGTAAGCGGACGGGAAAATGACTTAGGAAGTCAGCCAAAAGTAATCCGGATTGCTACCCAAATATCATTAAGGTAAACAAATGTCTAATGACACTTAAAAAGTATTTGCCAGTAATTATCAAATGAAAACTATAAAGGACCACTGAATTTTTTCTTAGTTATTTATGTAGTTTGACATAGAACAATAAAGTGAAGGGCCAAGGGGAGAATTATATCAGAAGAGTGTGAGGAATTTGGTCAAAATTCACATTGTAGGCCCTGGTCCAGACCTGCTGCATTAGAATGGGTTGAGAGGTATAGGGAACGGCCTCTCCCCTGTTCTTATTTCCTTTGGTAGCTTTTGTTCTAGGTTTACCCAGATTAATCAGTACTTCCTCTTCCTATGATACCCTTAACTGTGATCCTTCCTCTAGGGTAGTATTTGTGCTTCTCTCTTTTTTTTTCCAGTTGGGGCTGAGTTTGAACCCGCCACCTCCAGTACATGGGGCTGGCGCCCTTCTCCTTGAGCCACAGGCGCTGCCCAGTATTGTGCTTTTCCAGAGTGGGATCTCTAAGATCGTAACTGACTTTCCCACTCTTAATATTTTATGATGGGCACCTCGAAAAAACTGATGCAGATCAACACCATTATCTTATATTAGTTTGATGCTTTGAACCACTTAAATACACATTTTTCACTATTATTTCATTTTGATTCTCATAATCTTATGAAGTAGGCAGTGCAGAAACTTTTTGTCATATACCTTATAGAAATCCAGATGTACTGTGTTTTTAGTATCCCCTCAATCTGCTAATGTGGTATCCTTAGTAAAAATGAAAGTGAACCTCCTCAGACTGGCTCCAGGTGATTAGCATTTTTCTTTTTGAGTCCACAAATGATACAGTACTAATATGTTGATTTTGGCAAAATGTACTTCACTATCTTCCATAAATATGAATTGCCAGAGGAAGATGGTAGTCTATATTTCTCTTTTGAAAATCAGGATTTTGTCTGCCTTTCTTTAAGCTTCATGCAGCACTGCACTTTTGATTGTTACTCAGAGATGGTTTAGGTGCTTCAGTTATTTCACTTGTAAACTTTATAGGACCTGGATCAAAAGAGTTTCTAATTTGTCTCAGAGGGTATATTTTACTTTTAAGGCTTTAACTGCTGAAGTTAGTTTGTATTGTTATCATTAGATTATGTTTAACTTTCCCTAGCTGTTACTAATTATCAAGGTAATTCATATTAAATTTAAAAGAGGTGGTAAATTCAATGTATGTTTAAGGACTTAGCTATACTTATCACTTTAAATATATTTTCTTTTAAATAGCATCAACCTTGTACCTAACACGAAAAATGGAAACATCTACACTCCCTTAATCACTCTTACCTACCGTGACATTGATATCAAGGATCCCAACAGCCAGTCTGTAGAGGTGAGTTCTTTGCTAATCAGTAGGCTTATGTATGTACATACTTCATAATACTGATGCAGTTTATATTATGGTCAAAAGATAATCTTTTATTAAAGTTTCAAATAAATCTTTCTCTTCATATAATTAAGTCTTAATTTGTTTACTAATAACAGTAAGAGGTGAGTTCCCATGGATTCTGCGTATAAAAAAAAAAGAATGAATAAAATTTTTTAGTAGAAACATCACCAGCAATTGAGCATCCTGATTAGGGATCCTGGGAGATGCTGAGATGTACATATCCCAGGATCATATCTGGGATCCCAAAACATCCCTGCTTTGAGGAAGGGTAAAGGAAAGAGGGTTGGCTATTTTTTTTTTTGAGACAGAGCCTCAAGCTGTCCCCCTGGGTAGAGTGCCGTGGCATAGCTCACAGCAACCTCCACCTCCTGGGCTCAAGTGAATCTCCTGCCTCTGCCTCCCAAGTTGCTGGGATCACAGGCACCCACAATAGCACCTGGCTATTTTTTTTGGTTGCAGCTATCGTTGCTTGGCGGCCCGGGCTGAATTCGAACCCGCCACCTTAGGTGTATGTGGCTGGCATCTTAGCCACTTGAGCCACAGGCGCCGAGCCAGAGAGGGTTGGCTATTAAAACCAGTAGTAATCCTTCTGTACTTTTTCCTCCTAGAGAGTAAATGTATGTTCTCCTCCTTCTCTGAAAACATGAGAAGTAGGGGATAAGCGTTCCTTACCTTCAAACTCACCAATGGTTTTTAATTTCCACTATTTTATTTCTCTGAATTTTTATTTTCTAGTTTCTTCAGCCAGGATCATATCTCAGTATCTGTTCTTGTCCTTTTGGGCTACCTTGCTTCTGTTAAGATTTCGTCCCTATGCCCAATTAAACTGGGAACTCAAACTTTATAGTGGGTGTATGTGTGCTCACCAATCTATAGCCTACTTGATAGAGATATACTTCAACAGGCAGAAAGATATTAAAATTATCAGCTTTATAACTAGTGGTGCTAAAATGACCTAGATAACATGGTTTTGACCTGCAGACAAATAGGTTTCTTCTTCCCTAACTCAGTTAAACAACTACAGAAGTGAAGGCCTCTTATACCAGGCAGGACCTATACATGGAAGTGAGAGACCTTGTATGTCCCAAAGAGAAAGAGCCTGGAAAGGACTGAGCCACACTTGCTTAGTTCCTCTTTTCAACCTCTCCAGTCAGATAAAACATCCCTGCAAAATTAAGCAAATAGTGCAACTTTTCTCTTAAATATTTCCCATTCTCATTTTTATTACCTAATCTGATGATAAAATTGGTTTCTTTTGACTGAGTTTTTATATACTGTAATGGGAAGAGAAGAAAATCTAAAAACATGGTTAAGATAACAAAAAACCTGCCTGGCACTGGCCCCATACTGGAGGTGGCGGGTTCAAACCCAGCCCCCAGCCAAAAATAATAATAATAATAAGGGCATAAAAGAGAATAAAAATTAAAAAAAACTGCCTGGCTTAAAACTTTCTGGAGTGATACTCATAGGTAACCAACAGTATATTTATTTTAATATAAAACACTTCTGGGTCTTTTCTTTAATATTATTCTTGTTTAAAATATCCCAAACTAAGTATTGACAAATTGGAAAATAACATATTGAAAGAGGATTGAGGCAGTCATGAAACTATACCAATGAAGTCCTTTTCATTCTAAGTATAAAAAATACAATTATTTCATCATTTCTTAATTTTTCTTGGTAGCTGTTGCAAAAATTTTACAACAGTTTTAAGCAGGCTCTGTTCTCTCACCAATGGCAAATAATTTTGCTTCCTACTTGAGATGAGTAAGACCATAGGGATTCCTTCAGATTTCCTTTTTTTCTTTTTTTCTTTTGAGATGGTCTTACTCTGGCACCCAGGCAAGAGTACAGTGGCATCATCACAGCTCACCGCAACCTCTTAACTCCTGAGCTGAAGAGATCTTCAGCCTCCTGGGTAGCTGGGACTATAGGTGCATGCCACCATGCCCAGCCAATTTTTCTATTTTTTTGTAGAGATGGGATCTTCCTCTTCTCTTGCTCACGCTGGTCTGAAGCAGGCCTTCTGTCTCAGCCTCCCAAAGTGCTAAGATTACAGACATGAGCCACCACACCTGACCAGATCTCTACTACTAAAGAATTCCTGTGTTTCATTATTCTTCCTATTTCTTGTTTATGTTTCTAATACGGAAGGTTCTCTCCTCCCTTCCTAAGGTAATCTTCTACCTAAACTTGTTTGCAGTACTGTCTCTAATAATCCTTTTTCGCCCCCAACCCCTGATTCAGCTAGCTTCTCTGCTAGTCCCTTTCCTTTATTTATAAAAACTCTCAGGTAGCCTCATCTTAAAAACAAACTAAAACATTCAGCCAAACAAACTTTGACTCAATCCTGCCAGGTCCTCAGCTTGCTGTCATATTTCTTTCCTTTATTTCCCAGGCACTTACTTTTTCATCATTTATAATCTGGCTCTTGCCATTTTATTTCTTTCATAACATCTTTCATGAAGGTCAGCAATGAATGCCACATACGGGGGCTTTATTTCTTTACCTCGACATTAATATAACATTTGACATTGTACTCTTAACCTCCTCCATCTTGTAATGACCTCTTCTGTAACAGGGTAAGACTTCAGTATCTTGCTCTCCTACCTCTCACAGTCTCCTTCACTGACCCTTTACTGGTTCTTCTTTCTCTTGTCTCTGAAAATAGTAATAGTTCTAAGATTTTTCTTCAGACTTTTTGATTAATCTACCTAGTCAGGGTATGTATTAGGGTATGTTTATTTAGCGGGAGGTGGGAGGAATCCCTTTTTTATTTATTTACTTAATTAGAGAAGGGTCTTGCTCTGTTGTCTAGGCTGGGGGGCAGTGCCACATCATAGCTCACTGCAGTCTCAAATTCCTGGGCTCAAGCTCTTCTCCTGCTTCAACCTCCTGAGTAGCTGGGACTACAGACGCACAGCTGCCACATCTGACTAATTTTTTTCTATTTTTAGTAGAGACAGGGTTTTGGTCTTGCTCAAATTCCTGACCTCAAGCAATCCTCCCACTCTGGTTTCCCTGCCTACTGAGATTATTAGCATGAGCCACTATGCCTGACTCTCTTAAATTTTTTATAGAGATGTGGTCTTGGTTTGTTGCTCAGGTTGGTCTTGAACTCCTGGCCTCAGGTAATTCTCTTGCCTTGGCCTCCAAAGTTCTCAGATTATAGACATGAGCCACCATGCCTAGCCCTAAATTCTTTTTTTTAAAATGTATATTAAAATGCTGCAAGTGTATTTCTTTTTTTGTTGTTGTTGTTGCAATTTTTGGCTAGGGCTGGGTATGAACCTACCACCTCCAGTATATGGGACTGGCACCCTACTCCTTGAGCCACAGGCGCCACCCCCTAAATTCTTAATAGATAAATTTAGTCTTTTTCCTTAGTTACAGTAACCTATAGAAAAATGAAATATGGTTAATTTGGCTTGAGCTGCAATTGAATGAACTTAGCTCCACATGAACACTTCTTTTAATATATGTTTAAAAGAGATGTTTAAAGCAGCACGAGTAATTCACAATAGCTCAGTGGGTAGGGCAACGGCCACATACACCGGCTGGCAGTTCAAACCTGGCCTGGGCCAGCTAAAACAACAATGACAACTTCAACAACAAAAAAATAGCCAGGTGGTGTGGCAGGTGCCCGTATTCCCAGCTGCTTGGGAAGCTGAGGCAAGAGAATCGCTTAAGCCCAGGAGTTTGAGGTTGCTGTGGGCTGTGATGGCATGGTATTCTACCCAGGGTGGCAGCTTGAGACTCTGTCTCAAAAAAAGGAATATCTATTTATGTGTAAAAATCAACGCTAGTAATATTGTTGGCCACAGTGGCTCACACCTGTAATCCTAGCACTTCTAGGAGGCTGAGGTAGGTGGATTGCCTGAGCTCAGGAGTTCAAGACCAACCTGAGTAAGAGCAAGACCCTATCTCTAAAAAATAACTGGGCATTGTGGTGGGTGCCTATAGTCCCAGCTACTAGGGAGGTTGAGGCAAAAGAATCACTTTGAACCCAAAAGTTTGAGGTTGCTATGAGCTATGATGCTATGGTACTCTACCAAGGCTGACGAAGTGAGAGTCTGTCTTAAAAAAAAAACTCTAGTAATATTTATAGTTTAAAAATATAGCATTTATGGTAAAATCCAGCTGCAAATATATTTTTATAGTAAAAGTAAGTTTCTGTTGTACAATGTCAGTATGGTTAATTTGTTTTCTTTTAAATAACAGGTTTCTTTCTCAGTCAAATATGAAATGAATCAAGGAGAAGCACATGTCCAGACAGATGTGAGTTTATTTTAACCTGTTAAAAATATTTGTGGTGTATTTTTTAATTAAAAAAGATAATTTCAGATGTATAGGAAAGTTGCCAAAATAGATTTGCCATGTGCCCTTCCCTTAACCTCCCTTAATGTTAATATGCTATATATATAATCTTACTATAATGATTATAATCAGAAACTTAATATTGCTATAGTTCTGTTAACTAATCTATATATTATTTGTTTCACAGGTTTGTTTTTTTTTTTTAGTTTCACAGTTTTCACTATTGTTTTTTCTGTTTCAAGACCCAGTCCAGGCTCGGCGCCTGTGGCTCAAGCGGCTAAGGCGCCAGCCACATATACCTAAGGTGGCGGGTTCGAATCCCCAGCCCGGGCCTGCCAAACAACAATGATGGCTGCAACCAAAAAATGGCCAGGCGTTGTGGCGGGCGCCTGTAGTCCCAGCTACTTGGGAGGCTGAGGCAGGAGACTTGCTTGAGCCAGGAGTTGGAGGTTGCTGTGAGCGTGATGCCATGGCATTCTGCCCAGGGGGATAGCTTGAGGCTCTGTCTCAAAAAAAAAAAAAAAAAAAAAAGACCCAGTCCAAGATTCCATATTGCTTTTATCTATCATGTCTTAGTGTTTTCCAATCCGTGACAGTTTCTCAGTCTTCCTTTGTCTTTCATAACCCTGACACGTTTAAAGAGTACTGGTTAATTATTCTGACTCTCAATTTATGCTTGTCTGGTATTTTTTATGAATAAATTGAGTTCATGTAGTTTTGGCAGAGGTACCACAGAAGCAATGTGCATCATATCAGGAGGGACATGATATCAGGATATCTTATTACTCCTGATGTTAACTGTTATCATATGGCTAAGATGGTATCTACATTGTTCTCTCCTGTATTTTTCCATTTGTAATTAGTAAGTATCTCATGGAGAGATGTTTTGAAATTATACAGATATCCTGCTTTTCATCAGCCATTTGCCCTCTAATTTCAGCATGCATTGATGATTCTTGCCTGCCAAAAGTATTACTCTGATATTTGCCTTATGGTGATTTCCTGTTTCCCTCACTCACTCTAGACTTTTTTTGTTTGTTTATTTGTTTTGTTTTCCCTAAGACAGAGTCTCAGTATGTTGCCCTCAGTAGAGTGCTACAGCGTCGCACTCAAGCAACCTCAAACTTTTGGGCTTACGCGAGTCTCTTGCCTAAGCCTCCCAAGTAGCTGGGACTATAGGCACCCGCCACAGCACCTGGCTATTTTTTTGTTGTATTTGTCTTTGTTGTTTAGCAGCCCGGACAGGGTTCAAACCTGCCAGCCTTGGTGTATGTGGCCAGTGCCCTAACTACTGATCTTTGGGCACCAAACCTTGAACTCTAATGTAAGGAAGGATTCTCTCTTTGCCCACAGCAATTTATTTATTAAATTATTTATTTAAATCAATGTGAACCCATGAATATTTATTTCATTCTAGTGATCATAATCCATTACTGTTTATTTTTTTGCTCACATTGCCCTTATTTGGCCACTTGAAGTTCCTCTGGCTTGGCTCCTGTGTCCTTTCTACATGCCCCTCCACCGTTGTTTTTGAACACTACCTTACTTTCTATTTACAGTGGTTTTGAATATCGATGAGAGAAATTACATAAATTCTAAATATTCTTTTCCTTTTTTTAAAGATTGCTTTGGGTGTTTTGGGTGGGCTAGCTGTTCTGGCATCCCTTTTGAAGACAGCAGGATGGAAGAGACACATTGGGAGTCCCATGATTGATTTACAGGTATGAGCTCAGGAGTTTTTAAAGAATATTTTTGTCTTTTGACTATTGTGGATCCTTCTCATAAGATACAAATAGAGGATGAGTAAGAAGGTTGCCTTGACTTTTTCTGAGGTATGTAATTAGAATAGGTACTGGCGGGTCACAGGGTGTCTGCACACCTCATTTTCTTTCCACAGTGTTGTGTGCCGGTCTACACTTCCACTAGCAGTGCTGTTTCTGTTTCACTCTGTTTCTGTATGTCTTTGCCAACACTTGATATTTTTCCAACCTTTCTATTTTTTTTCTGCCAATCTTGTGTTGTATATAGTATATCATTGTTGATTTTACTTTTTCTCTTCATATATTTTTTAATTATTTGGATTTCCCCCTCTGTGAACTGCCTATTTACTATAGCCCTTTCCTATTTTTTCTGTCAGGGTTCTAGTTTTTCTTGTTTATTTGAAGGAATTTTTTTGTATTTTAAAAATGTTTATCCCTTTGTCATTTCTGATGTGTTGAAATGTATGATTCATCTGTTATTTTTATCCATGTGGTCTTTAGTTTAACAGAAACTTTTAATTTTGCTATTGTCACATCTGAATTTGGTTTTTCATGTTATGCTATGTGCTTTTAGGATCTTGTTTAGGAAAACCTTCCCTCTCTCAAGATCGCAAAGATATTGCACATTTTAATTCTATTAACTTTATAATTTTGCTTCTCATTTAATTTTTAAACAATTTTTTGTTTTTATTTTTTATCCAACATTTATTGTACATTTACTATATCCCAAGCACTTTTTTAAGTATACATACTTTCTGTGTATGTAATTCATTTAATCCTCACAATAGCTCTATAAAGTTAGGTATTATTATTATTCCCTTTTTACACATGATGAAATTGAAGTAGGGGTTAAATTTTGTACTCATTTAATTTTTGCAGCATTTCTGTAACAGGCATTTCATTTTTTGATAAAGAGCATAAGAAAGTCTACATAGAAACTTGTTTAACCAGGGTTATCTTCTGATTCCAAAGCCAGAGGAGATCAAGAAATTGATCTCCCCCCCAGATCAGGGGGACTTGACTTATGATTTAGAATAGTCAAGAAAGCCTTCCCAGAGAAGTGTACTTTAAGCTGGATTATCTATTCATTCCACAGTAATCCCTGAGGACGTACTGTCTAAGTGCCTGGCACTCTACCAGACACTGGGAGATGTGATAATGAGGAAAGATAGACATGGTCTGTGCCCCCAGAGCCTCATGAGAGTTTGCCAAACAGAGGAAAGGAAGAATATTTGATAAAACAATGCCCATTTTATTCCATAGAGTATTGGAGATGAAAATGGAGAGTGGTTCATCAGTGAGTAAGTGGCTGGAGCTAGCAGAAGAGGCTAAAAAGTTAATTTTGTTTTATGTTGTAAAGGACCTTGTGGGTCAAGAACTTATATTTTAGTGAGGAGACATACATTTTTTTTTTTTTTTT